CCAACGATCGATATATGTGCCTTTGCGCGCAAAAGATCTTGCATTTAACCGTCTCATGAAACTAACGATTTGAATGAACTTGCCACTGAAACTGCACTATAGTATCTGTATGTGGTGTTTGTAGTCATTATTTGGACAAACAAAATTTTTACTCGCATCAGCTGCAAAACAATCCTCCTGACCCAGAATTCAAAATTTGATGAAAAATTATTCTAAACTATACACTTCCTCTGCGCCACTTGCGACAATGATGACTACAAAATTTAAAAGCAAGCCCCTTTAGTAGCTATTAGATTCTCCGGAGTAAACGTCGTTTTGAATTTGAAACGAAGTAAGTCATACACTTCTCTTCACTTCTTTACAAGATGGCAATTTTGGCTTCGCACTGGCTTTGATCCACCTTGGATCTCAAGCCAGAAACCAAAAGATTCAATTGCCTGAAAATGAGAAAAATTCTAACTCAGTCCATAAGAATCCTACAAAAATTCTAACTTGCTCACATGAACAGCATCCGAGTAAGACATCTATATACGCCATTGCCGTATTTTTTTTCTCGGTTAGAAATTAAAAAACGAAGATTTTCATACGTTTGCCAAAGTGATGATGCGCTGTCCACATAGATTTTGTGATTTTATGCTACCAACCTGTGGAAGTACAAACATGAATTCTCAGCTCTCTATAAGCTCTGGTTTTCGAAAAATTCAGATTTTAGTGTAGATCACCCGTCTAAGGAAAGCTATATTTGCTATTTTTCGAGAACTGAAGCTTGTAAAGAGCTGGGAACTTATGTTTATACTTCTACAAGCTTGTAGTGTACAACTACTTATGTGGAGACAGCACAGCATCACTTTGGCAGAAGAAGATTTGCGCTTTCTTGACTTCTAACAGATGAAAAATTACGGCATTAACCTAGATGAGGGTCTTTTGTGAACAGTGTTTACGCGAGCAAGTTAGAATTTTTGTAGGATTTTTATGGACTAAGTTACGAATTTTCTCGATTTTTAGGGCAGTTGAATCTTTTTAGTTTTTGGCTTGGAACTTGAGGTGGATCAAAGCTGGCGCAAAAGCAAGATTGCCATCTTGTAGAGCTTGCTTGGTTATATCGAATGGTTTTTTGAAACTTATTTGAAATTGAGAAGTGCATAACTCTTTGCGGTTCAATTCAGAGACGGACATTAGTTTTTTAAAGGAGACAACCCAATACTTTTCAAGATACAGTTTTCCTCTGTAGAAGCTGTCTAAGATTCTCAAGAGATTACTGAGGAAAAAGGTTTGATTTAACAAAATTAATTTCCCAAAGTCTTGAGAAGCCGTCTCTATTGAACGGAAAGCACTGGCGTGAGACACTTTCTTGTGCTACTTTACCGTCTGGGGAAGATTCTGCTTGAAGCTTCAAGAAGTATAACATCAGCGCATTATCCAGGAGGAATGGTGTGCACTGGCCTGATGTCTTAAGTTACAAATTTTGGGGTTGCAAAAGTCTCACATGGTGTCGTTGAAGGCAGTGGCTCGGCAAAACCAAACATCTCAAAATTTACCCCACGTTTCAGCAATGATTTGCCTTCTTTGAAGCTGAAATGGGCAAAAGCAATTTAGAAACTACCGACCAAACATCTCCTTAAAGTCCTAAAAGCAATCTATGATTTCAACCACAAGAAACCTGCTACACGCAAAAATCACCTTTCGTTCGCCGGTAAAGTTCTGGGAACGGCCATAGGTTGTCGATGTTGTCGGTGTTGTCGGTGTTGTCGGTATTGTCAGTGTTGTCGGTGTTGTCGGTGTTGTTGATGTTGTCGATGTTGTCGGTGTTGTCGGAGTTGTCGGGGTCAGAGACAGTTTAGAGAGCGCGCGAAACGTGGAGGCTATCATGAGGTCCTACAACGACCGGCAACCTCGGCAACCCCGACAACCCCGACAACACCGACAACACCGACAACACCGACAACACCGACAACACCGACAACATCGACAACACCGACAACACCGACAACATCGACAACACCGACAACCTATGGCCGTTCCCTCTGGAAAATCGCTTACTGACCGCTTCAGAAGGAGCCAAACATTAAGTTTAGAAAGTCAAACAGCATGATTCTCATTAGTGAAGCTTGGCTGTATTGACTGCCACAAGTATTCTTCCGAAGAAAGGAGCTCGCTTGAAGTTCAAATCATCGATGCGTAATTGTCAGAATGGTTCGACGCTTCGCCCATTAATGGTCATTAAATGACTCTTAGAGCCTTGAAAACCATGATTTGGGATAAGGAATGAGACTAAGTAAACAAGTAAACTTTGAGCTAGTTTTACAGTTTCCTTCAACCCGGAGTAGACGAAACATTCAAATGGAGCAGCGCGTCTGCAACGTCACAGGCTCAGCGAGACAGATTAGATGAAAATATGCAGATTGCAAGTGGCGTGAATCCTTGCGAAGCGGACTCCCGCCAATTGATTTCCGCCTAAACTGAGTTGAAACTCACTATAGATATAGATATCGTTTATTCGTTGACCGTAACGACTGCTGACCGCGCGGCGACCGCTGCGCGTGCATGATGTTTTCGTAGAAAAGATGAATAGAAAGAAAACAGAGGATTCTTCTCACCTTTATAATGTAGAAAAGAAACAAAGAATTCTTCTCATCTTAAGCCACGGTCCAACTTGTCACTTTTTCGCAAGTTTAGAAGGCACGCGTCGCAGTCGCCACGCGGTCGGCAGTCCGTACGGTCAACGAATGAACGATATGTTTGTCTTTGAAAACGGTTGCGTAAGAATTAAAAAGGTCCTCATAAAGAGTTCAACTCTTATGTGCTAAGTCAAGGTAGATTTTAACCCCTATCCTAGGGTTAAATTTTACCTTGAACGCATAATAGAAATTTGGTGGAGAAATGATGATTAAGGTAATTTTTAACCTCAAGGTAGAATGATGAATACGGGTTTATGCGTTTCAAGGTTCATTTCTACTTCAAGGGAGTTAACCCATGAGAAAATATCATTGCGATCATGTTGTGAATACGGGTTATAAGCAGGGTTGAGCGTGGGGTCAGGCGCGCCCGACCTGGGGGGTCGTACTGGGGTAAGACAGAGGGGGGGGGGGGGTCGTGATTAGGAATCGAATTCGTTCGATTGAGGAGATACTACGATTGAGGTGAAGAAGAAAAGCGCTAGTTTAGTGGATATCGCGACTCACCAGTACTGAAGGAATGAACGGTCTCAAACAGCATACTAATTGATTCCACAATCGAAGTTTCGGCCAAAACTCAAATCTTCATCTTCTACCTTGACATATTATAAATTCATCAAGGAAGCTTGCTGTGTGAAATGGGTATCATTTCCAAGCACGTCAAATTACCTCTTTGAGCCCTACAAACCATTATTTACTGCATTACCTAGTGTTTCTCAACGACTAAAAAGCGTGATTTTCAAACATGATTAACTTGTTTTCAAAAGTGAGAAAAGTCAATTTTTTTGTACTCGTAACAAAGTATTGTTCCCTACTAGTCTAATCTAAAAATCGCGCTTTGTATCGCTTGCAAATAGTGGAGTAAGAAATAATGCCAAAATTCCGACCGGCGCGTTTTTCGCCATGACTGCTTCAACTTCACGGATTACCACAAGGCCGAAACAAGTCGAATCAAGTCCAAACACTTACTGTGGAATCTTCGAGGGTTGTGCTAGCGATTCACATAAAACTTGAATAAAAAAGCTTCTTCAATGATAAAGTTAATCGGGTCAGGCGCAACCCCACAAAAGGTCAGGCCGCCTGAGCTTTTGAGGGGTTGCGCCTGACCCGATTAACTTGTTTTCAAAATCTAAAAATCGCTCCATCTCTGCTATGAGTATTGAACTCAAAGCCTCTTCTTGCAATACTGCAAATTTGGAGCCAAACAATACACCCCTGTGGGAATTATAGCTCTAAAAGTAGGGCTATCCAAAATCTAAAACTTGCCGTCAAGTTGCGTGTGCTGTGCAATCGCAGAAAGTCGACCTACAGACCTCCAAAAAACAAGAACCTCCCAAAAACGGCTGATCTCTTCGAATTATCACAGCCTGAGGTCCTGGAGGTGAAGCAGGGGGTCGTTTAGGGGCTTTCACTGGGGGGGGGGGGTCGTTTTGGAAAGACTCGTGCCTGACCTCTTGCTCAACCCTGGTTATAAGCCTAAATGCTAGCTGAGGTAGATTTTAGCCCTGAGGGTTCGTTGATGAATACGGCCACAGGTATCTGAAGTTTCGAAATATCTTTCTTTCTTTTGAGCTGCGATCCCCTCCCCAGCGGGGAGGTTAGTGCATGCGGCCCTTAGATTGAAAGCCCTTGTAGGTGCGCCGCCGGCCGCAATAAGGCGCGGCGCTCGCCAGCTGCGAATGATGGCGCGAACCTCAAATGGCGCGCCGCTGGCACTGCAGCTTCAACTAAAGCGCGCCGTTCGCAGGGTAGCGAGTGTCTGAGATATATCATTTGATTCAACTAGCTTGGCTTCGAGTAGGCGGGGCTCCGTGACCTAATTAAGACTAGGTAATCATCAGAAAGCACTCGCGCGAGAGAGTCGCGGGTGAGTCGCGGGCGAGAGCGGCCTTAATTGAGTCACGGAGCCTCGTCTTTCTGAAGCCAAGCCAGCTGAATCAAAGGTTAGTCTAGCTCTACCCACTCGATTCATTGTAGATACATTGCTTTAGGAGCGCCTTTGCACTGGTTGACGTCGCGAGCGGTGTCGCTTCGCGAAAAATTCGCGCATGAGTCCTCACCCTCTCGCGCAAGAGTTTCCTCCCGCTGCTTAGTGCTTTCTTCATTGACCTTTTTCCTTCTGTTTACCTTTTCACAGCATCTGCTATCTGGGGAAGCAAACTCCTCTATTTTCTTGCTTACTGGTGTTAAATGCAAAGCGTTATCTGTGCAACGGTGATGGGACTGCGTTCAAGTCGTTCGGTTGGATAATCACATCACGGCGTCCATCTCTACATCATTACATAATCAAAACGTCCGTCGGATTCAAAATCTACTTATTTTTTTAGATGAAATGCAGCTTTTTGGTCCCAGTATTGCAGATGGAGTGCATAAGCGATGGTGCCGTTTCATGATACATCGATATCTTGGTCAACTCTTGGAGCAAAGTCTGGCGTTAGATCAACTTTCTGTTGAACTTTGTGCCGGAAAGCTTGCTGTAAATGAAGTAAAGATTAATACTCAAGTAAGTTATACGGCATCGAATCACCGCACTTTCGTAGACATCCACTGTAGAGAAGAAGTTTAATTTTTGCAAGAGAGGCGTTGACAGAATTTTCGGTCAGTCTATTCACTTTATGGCCAAGATCACAAGTAGAAAAGGCAGCGTCCAAGGAAACTCGTCGTGCGGGACAATGCCGCATCACAAGCTGTGCGTCTCTACGTTGCTTCTAATATCAGAACACGTCACGAGGGAATCCGTGGATGGGTGGAGCGTAAAAAGGGGGTTGGAGCGCAAAGGGAATTCAGGTCCGTTGTCTCCTTTTGTACAGTCTGCCCCTGTCAGGATCAGGCCGAACTGTTGGGGTGAAGCGCTGGGGTTCGCTGCGCATTTTGCCACTATCGGAGAGGGCGAAAAGATTGAAGGTAGGACAGATGAAGGTAGGACAGACAAGCAGGCCCTGGGTTAACGCAAACTCTAGCGACGCGGACTCCTGCGGTACCCAAATTGACCTGATTAGGATTGGGGGACCGTAGGCAACATCAGGGGACCGGACCAACGCGGTTGGTCTACTTTCAAGACCTGTTTATATGATAAGTTGTAATTTGGGGTAAGTAGATTTGGTGTGAACGCAGCCTTTAAGCGGATGAAGTATGGCGCGTGCCCAAGACGCTAGTTGGCGTGCGTGTCGTTGCGGCTGCACTATGTGCACCTGTTGCCGGCCTCTAACTGTATGATCGTCTTTACGATTCGTGTAGAGGTGTATTGCAGACTTTGCCTGATAACACAGGTAAACTTGTTGAATCTCCACGTCATAGCAGTTTTTTGTACTCTCTCGCTATCAGAAACCGCCCGCGCTTTGAGTTGGCAAAACCCCGCCTCTACACGAATCGTGGAGCCGATGACACGAGTGGTTTATTTTCTGGTGTGGTTTACCGCAGCTATGCTTTGAAGTTATAGCTCAGCGAGATCCACTACCTAGCACCATATAATTTTGTTGGATTGGTGTTAATTATATACAAGGAAATGGTCATAAGTCGAAGTGGCCATCCAATCAGGTTGCCTACCATTCGACGCAGTATTCGACGCTGATTTTGAGTCCTGCGAATTCACGCTGCCAGCTTCTGAAGCTCTCTCTCTTTCTCTCTCTCTCTCTCTCTCGCTTTCGGTTTGAAGTCAATCTTTGCACTTGGCCGGTGGCCATGTCAGGAGGGCTAGCGGAAATCGCTCCGGAAACTGGAAGCTTGAATTCACGGAGAACCCGCCCACCTGCTGACCTCCCTCCTGTGGTACAGCCCTTTTTCGCCGTTTTCGCGCTCCCCAGTGTGGATTTTCGGATTCATCACAGCGGACATGCCCTGGTAAGCGCACTCAGGCAATTGGAGCGTGCAGCGCGCGCGCAGTCACACGGTGGCGCAACACCCAGTGCGCGGATAGCGGGACATTGGATGCCGCGCCGCTGGTGCTGGCCCGCGGATGGCTGCAACTTTCAGTTTTTCGTTGCGCTGTATATACCGCAGGTCTTGATGATGAACTTCACACTCTATACGCCAAAAAAAAATACGAATTCGTATTTGAATCCGAAAATTCAGATCCCATCCATTCGCGATGCTACCGGCTAACGCTTGAAAGCAAAGAACAACTACTTCTGCGACTACACATACACTAAGATGTAACACCTAACCTCTTGAATGATGAGGCAGCCTGACCAATGCGTCGTACACTATGCGGGTATCTTTTGCAATCATCGCATGCTTACAGCATGCGATAATTGCAGGCGCGCGGGCCGCACGGGTAGAGTATAAAGGCACGCGCGCGGCGTGCTACAAAATTAGGCGCGCGGGTCTCTCGTATAGTTGTAACGAACAAAAATTTTCGTCGAATGAACGAATATCGAATAATCAATTTTTGAAACTTTTTCGAACGAATGAATATCGAATAATCGATTTTCGAAACTTTTTCGAACGAATGAATATCGAATATTTGATTTTCGAAAAATTCTTCGAATGAACGAATATTATTCGACTTTCGATTTTCATTTTATTCGAATTTGAATATTCGAATATTGGCACATTCCAAAATTCGAATGAATGAATACTTGAATAACCGAACTTGATCGAATATTCGACTAATTTCGAATAAATGTTCGAATACTGTTCGAATATTTGAATGCAATATTCGAATATTCGAATATTCGAACAACTATCTTTTAAAACCACTCGAATGAATGAATATTCGAATATCCTTTATTTAAAACTCGTCGAATGAACGAATATTCGAATAAGTCATTTTTACAAATCGTCGAATGAACGAATTATTCGAATATAGGCCTTTCTCATTTATTCGACTATTCGAATAATCGAATAAATGGACTTTCTCAAATATTCGACTATTCGAATATTCGAATAGTCGAATATTTCGATTAAATTATTCGAACTCGAATATTCGGTGCTAACTATAGTCTCTCGAACATAAACGTAGCGCGCGGTCGCGGTGTTGGCCACAAAAGGCAGTGTCCAGGCTAAACCTAACCCCCTCCGAATAGTGTCGATCCTGAATGTAGGCCCCAGGAAAGGGGCATCTATTTTAGTCCGGTCTTCTAACATTGTCATTGAATGGAGATAAGGGGCCTGGAAGTCCCTGGGTGGGCGGAGTCTGATATCAGACTCCGCCCAGCCAGGGATGCCTCCCGACACGTATTAACGTGGTAGTGAGCAGAGCTGCACACTGATGCAACTTCACCCATGCAGTTGCAGCTCCTCCCCGCTGGCCTGCCGACGGGAACGAGCAATTCGAAACTCGTCCGCGCTCTCAGACAGGGTCCCCAAGAATCGGGTTTTTCGTGAATTTTGGAGAGTTTGAAATTCGGAACTGTAATCAGGGCCACGGAAAGGCCCCAGAATGACGAAAACATGGGAGGCCAAATTCTGGGAGGACGCTGCCTTTAACACATTCACGACAATACGACCCATCGGTGGGTCCTAATTTTCGAAGCAAAAAACGCTCCTGCCCGAAATTGCAGTAATCGAAAAATCGGCCTTGTCGTGAATGTGTTAATACGCGCGCCGCACGTACCAAATGTCTAGGGTGGCACGCGTTTGGCGTACTGCTGGACACGCCCACAAATAAAGCACGCGCTTTGCCGCATCGACCTTAAACACGCGTGCGCCGCACGCTCCAACTGTCTGAGCAGAACGGGTGGAGGACTATATGTCGCCGAATCTGGAAGAGTCCCGCGCGGATTCCCTGCAGGAACGCATGTCCGCACATGTACAAGGGTGCGTATTTGTCGCAAATGACCGCGGGGACCGCCCTTTTTCGGCGACATATAGTCCTCCACCCGAGCAGAACGAATTCGACTTTTTGCGCGGGCACAGCCTTTCCTTTTGCCGTTGCACGTGCAAAAGGACCGGTAGTCCACGAGGCGGCGCCGTTCGGCGGTCCCCCATACCCTTCAAAGTTGTGCCAAAATTGAAATATTCCTAGATCCCAATTTGGATCTTTTTGAAATGGAAGCCTCATTTTCAGTATGTGAATGAGTTCTTGACATCACTGAATGTGCCACTAACACTTTCCGATGGATTTGTTGGGCGGATCACGATCGGTGCGTTTCACATAGATACTAATTGGTTTCTTTCTCTGAGTTGTGGAACATCGCAGCTTCCAATACAACAGCAAACCATGCTAGAGCCGTTAAGATTAAACAGAATACTTAACGACTTTGGTATCGATGTTTGTCGCTGTAGGTACATATAGGCGATTCGTTGCACGCAAAGACTGCGGATATACCGCGTCTCTCCGATCGAGCGCTCTTTCTTTTCTCTTAACATTTGCTGTCTCTCCCATGCACGAGCTATCTTGCTCGGACGCAAGGGTGCCCAGTCTTTGCGTATTTTAAATCGCCGATATGTTTGCATTTTATCTGCTCCTCTAGTTTCCAGAAGTACCATGGCTTTCGCTGCTCTCAGAACCTAGCAGAGTGAAGCTTCATCAGTTGGAGTTGACATTGGAGTCAAAGGAAGACGTCTTACACAATAATGAAACACTAAGTAACATCGGTTTTAAAGGCACCGTCCACCCTAAGTTAAGAGTGTTGAGCTTTTGGCAGCATATAATAGTAGGGCCCTCTATCAATCCAATGTCCAAGTCGCGGCGCAAAATGCCGCTTCGGAAGCGAGAAAATCGCTTCGGATTAGCGAATGACCACGAGAACCCCCGTCCATGCCCGCCCTCCCCCATCCATGCCCGCCCATTTGTGCGCGAACATCCAATCACCGTTCTGGAAAGCCGGCCTGTGGGTTCTCCGGAACGGGGATTGTCGGGGTTTTCGAGCATTCTCGACTTCATATTCGGAATCAGGGACATGAGAAGGCGCTGGAACGACAAAAACGTGGAAGTAGAAAATCTGGGTGGACGGTGCCTTTAAGATTTTATTAGTAAGTTCTGTGTACGTTTTTTTCCTTTAGATTCATCAGTGTTTGAGAGCATCGTGGATTCGATTCCTTCATCTGACGATCTAGCTAGGAGTTTCTACGAAAGTGTGATAGAGGGTCCAGACGCTTTTGCTGTAACGAAAGACGGAGTCAAAGCAGTTGCAGAAGTGCGTTTATGTTCATTTTTCTAAAAATCGCCTTGTTGAAGCTCTCAAACTTTTCCCACGTTCTTTTGTGTCTTTCGAATCCACATCCTGTCACGTATAAGTTCAGATCATCGAAGCCGTTATTTCGCGGGTCGGTATAGAATTGACTGAATCGACTTTACGGCTAGAAAGCTCTACAAAGTCTGATGCTCGTCTACGTACAGCTGTTGAAGTTCGCTTGAAGAAGTGAGCTCATTGTTTAGTACGCTGTCTTTCCTTTTTATCGAAAGTTTTTATGAGAAGTGCAGCATTCGCTTTATGAAGGGGTTACATGGTCAAAATGGAAGCAGTGTGGACACGTCGACTCTTTCGAATGAAAGAGAAATTGTAGATCGCAAGTGCATCGATATGTCTGGTAAGTGCTTATAACTACTTTTCTTCATCATTTTGGCTGCAGAAAGGTTTGACTCATGTGCGCCTTTTCAAATTCTAGGGGTCGAGTTTTTCACAGATGTCTACACTGCAACTGAAGACCGACTAAATGATCAAAACTCATGTTGTGGAGGTGAACAAAAGCCAGTAAGACTTTATCTGGAATTTTTTTGCCGCTACAACAACAAAACTTTGTAGATACAGTCGCTTCATTTCATATGATCATGTGTGCCATTGCACACTCAGTCCACTTTGGCGTCCTCATCCTGGATTTGCAGTCGCAAAAAACGCAAGAGACTTACCGATTGTTATCGATTACATCAATTTGAGGTGACTAGTGACTAAAAAGGAAAGAAAATGCTAAGAACACCTTGGAAACACTCACCCAAAGGCTTGTTCCTCCCACGAATTCGAATGGGGACGCCAAAGGTGAACTGTGTGTGCAATGACACACATGATCATATGAAATGAAGCGACTGTATTCTCATCGCCTGATAGGCAGGCGCCATACTTGATCCGCTTGATCCGCTTGATCCACTTCATCCACTTCACTATTGGTTAGTTCACTGAATTGACCAATGATGAAGCGGATCAAGCGGATCAAGTGGATCAAGCGGATCTAGTATGGCGCGTGCCATAGTTGCAATTTTGTCCAGACAAATTACTACGGGTCACCGTCATCATCCTCTGCTGACTTCCACTCATGCTCTTCTTCTTGTAAGAACAGTCACTGCAGGTTTTATTGTCCTTGACATGCTATTCTAGCCAACGCGCAGATCAACCAAACTCGGAATGAGTGTCGGGGCGTTGAAAAAGGCAGTGATCAGGAGTGAGTAGCGGTTATCAGTAACTAAAGTACAAGACTTCTTCTTCCAGACTGATGTCCAAACCAGTGAAATTTGCGGAGTTTGTCGGCGAGTCCCACATGACCTTTTGCACACGAATGTCCAGTGTTTTAGCGAACAAGAAGGACAAGAAAGTGAGTGACAGAATCAAGGCGATGATTCCCATCTCTCTGAGTCTCATAAATGTTTCTTTGAAACAAAGTAACGGCCTTGTTGCAGTCCGAAGTTGAGCTATTTTGCAAGGGTTTCCACTGCTTCATTTCACCGTCACAGATTGAAATTCTCAAAGGGTTTGTGTAGTATGCCTAAGATGTGTACATGCATACACATTCTTCGCATTCTTAGATTTCTCTCGTCGATTGCGCTTTGCGAAGCAGGGAGATCGGACAGCTGTGGTAGAAAAATGGACAGAAACGATTACGATGCGATGACAAAGAATGTAGAACAAGGTTTCCAAAGAACAAGATTAACTACTCCTATGCGGTTAGAAGGTTCGGCATGTCGGAGTTTAGTTTCTTCTGTAACGGATTTTTTACCGTTGGTCTTGGCGTAAAGCTGTTTTTGAGCTAATTTTTAATCTTCTTTTTTCTTGCTCCGAATTTTGCTTGTCGCGTTAGATCCGAAAATGGGTTCCAGAATATCTGGGGCGGTATTTATCAACCTACTATATAGGAAAGGGTTTGTACAGGTAACAGCCCGTACAGGCGCGGGCAGTGGCGCCCGCGATATATGAAGCCAAGCTGGTGATCGGGCTCCTGTCTGTTAGAGATATAGTCCGATCTGGCAAGTTTGGCCATGTCGGGCACAGCAGTCGGGCAGCAGAGCCCGATCTCGACTGGTCGGGTTCCACTGTCCGACTGCCGTGCCCGACATGGCCAAACTTGCCAGATCGGACCACAATCTAAATTTCGATAAATCACGAGGTTGGCGCTCTTGCCTAACTGGGCGCTCCTTACGGCCCGAACAGCAAGTGGGAGATTGATAAATACCCCCCTGAAGTGACCAAAGCATTTTTGCGTCGTTAGGAAGCTTCGCCCATAAGTCTTTGCTGAGTGAGATAGAGGCTGTACTAGACATGGTCATCCCTCTTAACCAGAGTCTGGGGCCAAATTTTTGTTAGGCGTATGGAATGCGCTAATTGCAGCGTTAGATAGGAAAGCTTCTGATTACCCTCCTCAGTTGTATTGGGAAGTTCTTCTGATTCTGCCCGAACTTTAGGAAGGAAAGCGCGTATATATGCTTTGGTTGCTTTGCCTCTCGATGCTTTCCTTTACAGAAACGGGAAGAGAACGAGAAGAATTCCAAGGAATGGTCTCGATAAACCTCGAACATGATACAGCGTTAAGAAAATTCAGCAGTATTCACAGCATACTCGGTTAGTTGCTTTCACGGTACTGGTTCTCGATTGGTGTAGAAAGCGTGTGTATATATATATATATATATATATATATATATATATATATATATATATATATATATATATATATATATATATATATATATGTACTTCAGAAGCAGAGGATGCTGCAAAGGCGTCTATCTCGCTGAAAGTTGAGCTTGAGACGGTGTTGGTGTACATCCCACACAGTGATATCCTGTCGCTGGAATATGTGAAACCTCTTGCTAATGGTTATCACGAAGCTCTAGATCACATCAGTAAGGAAGCCGAAACGTGAGTGCTTCTGCCCTTCATGCTTGGTTTCTTCATAGTCCATGGGTCCCTTCCAGATTTTTCACCAAATCTGCTGAAATTTCTTTGAAGTGTTGTATTCTGACTACAGCTAGAAGTATGTTGGATGACTTGTATCCCAAAGACCATCTCAGGCAAATATGAGGAAATCCTTTTCTCAAGGGCTTGATGTTTGTATGGTTACAGAGTTGTTGGATCCTCCGTAGTATTCACTTATCAGGCAGGCAACGCTGATTCTGAGGGGCTTATGTGTGCAAAAATAGTATTCTCGAATGTGGATGCCGTAGAGTTTCTTACAGCAGAATCTAATCCAGTACGTTAAGTAAATCGTTCTGTATCGCATAAATCAAGCAACACTCTTCAGGTTGACGGAGAGAATAAACATATAACACTTCTTGACTTTTCCGACATTGTTGTTCACGATCCGGAGCCACAACTCAAGATTGTCATTGAAACCATATCGGATATGGTTGACAAAGTGAGGACTTGTTTTTTCTGAATTATTTCTTATTTCAATCATCTGTTTCAGTCCAATATCATTATTTGTATCAGAAAGTGCCACTGTGAGTTGGATCCTAGTTTTGTGGAACGAATCGCTGATTTGCTTGCGCCACGACCATTCTTCTACTCCCTCTTGGAACGACCATCGAATTCCAAATTTGCTGTTAGGTCAGTAAATTTCGATTTTTTAATGAATCCTTTGATGAATGCGGCCATGGCCAGTCTGAGTCTTATAGTGATCTCTAATTGTAGAGTTGAGTCTCCACAACTTTGCAAGAATTATCTCAATGCGTACACCATCCAATTAAGGGAATCTAAGCTTACTGTCAAATGCGCTGAATTTAAGCTCTCTCTGAGGTGCCGACAGCATCTTGGTTGATGTGACTGAATATCATTTACTTTACCTAGGATTCCGATGGTAGACTTGCCTTCCATTGGAGCTAAGACAACGTTTCGGCAGCGTCGTGTACATACTGAATACATAGATTTGCTGATCACCTCGCCCGTAGTAGAAGTAGCGCTTGGCGATGAAACCGCTACAATAGAGCTCTTCGCAGCTGAGGTTCAGGGTAAGGCTTTGTATAGCTTTAGTACCCAGCTTTACCCTTCTTTTAGGAAGCTTTTGCGGAATCTCGAATAAACTTACCTGTTGCCAAATTTGTCAATTTCTTTGGATGGGTCAGTCAGCCAATGAACCGCTACAGTGAGCTAGCAGATGTTATTCTATCTGCCTCTTCTAAGCTTCTATTTCCTAGATTTTTTCAGCATAAAGTTAGACTACGATCCTCGCAATAAAGCCCTATCGTGTGGTACAGAGATTTGTCATGCTTCCGGTACTGATCTCAATGATGTTTTGGATAACAGCTTGTCTTCTTCACTCATTACTACCGTACCCCGCAGAGAGGGTCCATTTACCCATGCTCATCATTCGTCCTTCCATGGACAGGTAGAAACTGGTGTCAGTTTGCACTACCTTGTATACGATCTTGACGATCCCATTATGCGCTTTAGGCTGTCATAGCCGGCTCAAGAGAAGAGATGAGGGCATTTGGAGCTGAGTGCACTTTTCAGTCTAAGCTGGCCATAACTCTCAACATTCCACTTCTGCGCGTGTTCATATCAAATCATGAATTTCTCGAATTGCTATACAATCGACTTGTAAGTGTAAATACCATAAAATCTCTACAAAATGATCGAGATCTATTTACGGTTGGTTCTTACCTTCAACTTTGAGGTCAATGGACTTCTATTATGGCAACCAGCTGCTCGTGTTACTGCGCTGGGTCCAGAAGACTTTTTGGTAAATGTATTTAGTGATAAAGTGTCGAAGAGAGATCAATATGGTGATAATCCGAAGGAAACAGGTATTTTTGTCCTATTTCACATCAAGTGCACAAAAGTCATCTAATTTAAGTAGGCGACCTTGAGGAAGAACTCGATCCGTTGATATTCTCGGATATCTTTGTGAGAAGTAAAGCTCATTTGCTGAGCCTGACTCTGAATTTGAGGAGAGCATCTGTCATGTGTTTTGCTGAGGCAAAGGTATGCTTCGTTGATCTTGCAGTTGTAGCTTCCAACTCTAGATAGGAATCTTTGAGCAGTTGAGAGTTGTATTCCTGCAATTGTGTTTATGGGATTATAGTGAACTAACATTATCGTGCTTGATCCTACTTATTCTGAAATGGCTCATGTCTAGGAAGGAGATGGCAAAGGCGTGTCTGCGAATATGACAGATGCACAGTTCTTCTTTGTGGGTGGCTATCACGGGAAGATGAGTGATTCCTACGCTTACTATACCGCTCATACCTTCGCTATTGGAGACAGAAGTAGGATATCCAACGTTTGTTTGGACATAGCCAAATCTTCTTTTGCAGGAGTAGATTCAGTGCCTAGAGTGTTCAGTTCCAATTTTGGCGAATGGAACAGTGACGAGATACATGTGTACTCTATCCCAGCCGACGATAAATTCTCGTCGCGGAGTGACGAGGATGCAGTTGGTGTGGCCATGCATCTTCATGAATTACCTGATCGAGTTACCAAAGTCATTAAATGAGCATCACTTCTTTCACAGAAATATAGAGTCTTAAAGGATTTGCTGCTAGCTATCGCGCTGCGAAACATCTGCTTACAAATCCGTCCTTTCCAAAATCCGGAGAAAACGTGGTTGCTATGTTTGGCTCATTTCTTCAACCTCCAGAACGATCCCAGTCCCGGTATCGAGCCTTATGCTGTGAAGGTGAGCTGAATGAGACAAGATCAATGCATTTTGAATGCTCAATAACATTCAGACTGAACTACATATACATCTAGACAATGTTGTTTTGGCTTACGATCATGCATGGACGAAACGTGATAGTAACGTTCGGCTGAGGTATTTGGTCTTTACATCTGTGAAGTTTCTACTTAAAGACAGTGTCCGGGCAAAAACTCGATTTTGAGATTTTGTGCTTATACGGGCCTATTCGCCATGCTGAATCCGAAAATCTACACTGGAAAGCGCGAAAACGGCAATAAAGGGCTCTAGCGCAGGAGGGAAACAGCAAGTGGGCGGGGCCCTCCCCACTGTGAACTCTCGCTCCCAGCTTCCAGGGCGGTCTTCTATTCCGCTAGCCGTCCTAACATCGCTACCGGCCAAGTGCAAATGATTGAAACGAAACCGGAATCGAGAAGATCGCTCCAGAAGCTGGGAGCGTGAATTCACAGTAAGGAAGACCACGCCCACCTGCTGATTTGCCTCCTGTGTTAGAGCCGCTTTTCGCCGTTTTCGCGCTCTCCAATGTGCATTTTCGGATTCAGCGTAGCGAATAGGCCCGGATAAGCACAAAATCTCAAAATCGAGTTTTTGCCCGGACACTGCCTTTTAACCGTTGTATAGGTTAGTTATCGGAGAGGCTGACATCAACAGCGCCATTGCTCAGGATATGGATTTGGCCAAGGTCTCTTCAATGCTAAAGGTGAACTAACTCACACTATGTTTCTTACAGATCACTAGCTCTCTTGAAAACGTTGGAGTCTTCATCAGCAACAATAGAAAGGTGAGCAGCAGTGTTCGCTGCGAAGAGCAGCCCTTCGGAAACGCCTGTATTTGTGCGTCCAATAAGGAATATCTTAAAGTTGTAGATGTTGGAATTCTTCGATTTGAGGTGAGCTTAGAACTATTTTTAACCAGCTTCAAGCGTCATTTCGTCAAATTGTTTAGTGTATATACCCCTGCAGCCTTTCTGTCGAACCAGAGGACAAAACTCCACCTCTCGAGATTCGTTGTCTGAATGGCACTATTGAGGTCCTTCTTAGCAAGTGGCTTGAGAATTGATTTGGTGTTAAAAGCAGACCTTTCTAGTTTTATAGGCTTGGATACGTGCCGATACATTGGCAGCCATGCTCAACATAGCCACAGAAATCAGTGATTCTCAAGGATACGCTGCATACACAAATGAAGGGTATCGTGAACATCACTCAGGCGATACCTGTGATGCTACGGTAGGGATTTTGGCTAGTAAGATCAATTCACGGGGATTTTTTCAGAATAACTACCGTAATGATTCTCACTCCAGTTTGGCGAAGGAATCAAAAAGAGTGGGCGTATATTAGCAGAGTCTTCTGTCTTTGACTCATGTCATGACTTTCAGCGCCTGCTTGTCTCTGCCATGAAAGAGAGTGTAGCATGTGGTTGTCGATACAGTACTTCTGCTGCAACAGCGGTGAGTGTCCCATACCGCGCGTATACTACACCGGTTAGGTTTCCTACTTAAGGATGTTTATATATAGGAACACTTTGCTGATCCATCATTAGATTCGCCGTGGCCTGGTTGCGCTCGCGCGTATCCTCAAGATGATGAATTCTGCGTACTAGACAGTGAAGTTAGCACCATCGTCGGTTTTTTCAACAGGCTTTGTGATCGTCTCTTAATATTCATTTTAGAAATCTGTCAGCAAATCGTATATAAAGTACATAGGCACACGAGCGCATCCAGACATTATAATAGACATAGATTATCAGCATTTTCCTTTTCCAAGAGATTGTGACGAATGTGCTGCTTTATTGACTAATTCTTCGACTCCTACGATAAGGTAAGAAAGCATCGAAATTTGTGGTGTGAGCATGCAGAGTCTGAGGTGGTCAAGTACAGGTATCTAATTCGCGACATTTCCATCAATCTACATCTGTGTGCTGAGTCTGTTGAGGGTGAGTTTTGTGAGAATCACACCCTGCTTATGTAGTTGAATTAGTAAAAAGCGTTTAGACGCGAACCTACTGAAAAACTGCCGCAGATGCAGTGAGCATCGTGAGCGCCTGATCAAGAATCAAGCAGACGGTGACGGGCATGGCAAATCCCGTAATCATCCTGCTTGCCTTGTTCTGCAGCTGAGCAAGGTAGCGTGAGCTCTCATCCAAAGAAAGAAGGCATTAAGTTGTAAATAATCTGTCTGAAATAGGCTGTAGATCTATTTAGATCACATATGTTCATCAATTCTTCTGCGAAAAAGCACCATTCAAGTCTATGATGCTTTTAACTATTCATGACATGACTTTGCTTGATACGCTAACTCCCGGTAAATTCAAGAAAGTGTTGTATCAGGTGAGAGGCCGCCAAAATATAGGCGATAAAATGATTCACTACTGACGTTTCAGTACTTAGCTGCACAGCGGCCTCGAGGAACATGTGCACCCATGCTGGCAGTAAGAAAGATCGAGTCTCAGAAATGTGAAGGAAAGATGAGGGTTAGCTTTGAGTCTCTTAATGTCGATTAAGGTTTCTAACGAGCACAGTTCCATTATTCTAGGTTTCGATGCTACCCATAAAGCTCAACGTCGATCAAGATACAATAGATTTTCTGAACAGTTTTCTGCAAGAAGTTCGCTTTATCGCACATCTCCACTCACTAGGCTTAATGAGGCTTTATTCTAGGTGGCAGAGTCGTCGGCTGACGCGGAATGCAAGCTCAAATCTGGTACGGATCGAGACACCACATTTTTTAAGTTTGGTTCTCAACCCTTTTGACCTCGGTTCCGAAGATCTTCCGTTGTAGAGAATTCATTTTTTCTCCACCTGTACCGATTTACGTTGACTATCACGGAAAGAACAGAGTCAACATGGAGAAAGATGGAGCAGTAGTTGGTTAGTCGCTCAGTTTTGTGCTTTGTCTTAACTTGTTGCGGACAGGTGTAATAGCCGGATTCGGGCACTTGCATCAGGCAGAATTTGAGCTAAATGAAATTGTATACAGAAATGGACTTTTGGGAGTTGGCCGCTGCTTCAGCGTAAGTCCGAATCTTCACAAGATGCTATATGTGGTTTGTGAGTGTAATTTGTAGGTAGCCGTGGAGGAATGGCTGTCTAACATCAAAGTTTTCCCAAACATTCTAGCCAGTTTTGGTCCGATTAGACCCGTCTATCAAATTGGTGGGTATACATCATCCGTTATGTGGCTTGATAAATAGACGTTACTGTACGCTCAGATTTTTCAAGGGAAAGCTGTTGCGGATCTTTTCTTGTTTCCTGCTGCAGAACTACGGAAGCAGGACGGTAACCTTATAAAAGGAATCCAGAAGGGGTTTGGTTCATTTGGTCAGTCAACTGCAGCTGGCGTGGTTGTTGTGGCACAGACATTTCTTGGAGTGGTCCAGGTAACGCGCTTGCGAGGAATGCTTTTCGACCAATGCTGGCTATATTTCAGGCACTCGCTCGGTCAGCGTACTAGAAGCGGCAACCCTGATTAATCACAAAGCGGCTGTAGAGCCATGGCTGTCAGATCGGATGCATCTATCACTCTTCGCCATAGATGCCCTGCGTGGACCTGTAGCGCTACTGCTTGTTTCTTCCAACAAGAAAATCTACTAGTTGACGGCCGTGTGGAATTGGATGTGCCATTCTCAGGGACTCGCACCGTGCGGGCGGCCAGCGACGAACTTACAATCGCTCGTTGGTGTGTGCGATTGTACGGTCGTCAAGGGCCGTTAGCACGGTTAACGTGGGGCGCCCGCACGGTTTCTAATGCTCGCCGCTTGCGCGGGGAAGGTCGGCCGCTCGCTTGCTGCTGGAGTTGGTTTATATGGGGTATTTTAACCATTTTTCTTAGGTATGTTAAGCATTTTCACATCCTGCGAACACGGACTAATGGCTGCCGCACTACCCAAACTTTCCATGGAGAAGCCCACACCATCACTCTTGATAACTGTAGCCTCACGCAGGTTCATTTCAGCTTTGCGGTGAAGGGAAATGTTTATAACACGATAGTCGACGCTTAGCCAGCCTAAACGCTGCGTCGTATCTCATGCAGGTACCGTTTACGCTCACAGTGTGTGAAAACAATGAGCCGAAGGTAGAGGTCACTGTTGGCCGCTTGCACGGGCAAATGTTTGCCGCCCGGTCGAACGGACACATTGCCTGCCGCTTGTACGATCAAGTGATTGCTGGCCGATCGTGCGGACGCATTGCCTGCCGCTTGCACGGTCGATTTTATTGCGTGCCGATCCGGGTAGACTGTCTTCCGCTTGCACGGCATTTTTATTGTTGACCGCACGCACGGTACATCAAAAACTATGCAGTGCGCTCAGGCGGAGGAGCTTTAAAGAGGACCGCCCGCACGGCGCGAATCCCTGAGTTGGTTGCTGTCGCTTAGAGTCCTTAATGTGTTTCAAGCGTACTGAGGGAAGTCATTTTGCTTGAAGAAGCTAGTAATCAGCTTTTCAGGCCGCGTTTATCACTTGCATAAGTAGCCACATCGACAATTGCTTATGGCTCAAAAAGTCCTGCTTTTTTACTTGACATGGTGATCTGCACCGTATAGCTGTAAAAAAATGTTCCTCAGGGTCAGGCAGGGGAGCTCAAGTGAGATCTCTTCATAAGGAAGCATCAACTTCGTGAAGGCCAAAACTTAAATTGCATGGTTGCTACCCATCAACGATGTCGTTTCCCAGTCATGCTTTACCGCAACGGGTCTCTGGTTGTTTCGGCTTCGATATGCAAGCAACAAATATTGCATACGCATTTGTCCATTTGATTGTAGTCAGCAGAGGTTGTCATATCTCTAGAACTGGTATAAAGATTTGGTCTGCTGAGTCTCCGCCTCTATTTGAATTTGAAAAATTGTGATACGAACATTGTTATCATTTGCAAGTAGTAAAAACATCGATCGAACTTCACAAATTGGTAGGTTTTGTAAAAGCTTTTTGTGAATCCAAAAATGAAGCGAATGTGCCTGAAAAAAAAAAGAATTTTTGGAGAAGGGCAATGTTATATTAATCTGTCTCCACCCTACATAAAAATTTCTCTAACCGCGGTGTCCCATAAGGATCAAGTATGGAAGGTCACTAGCTTAGATGGAATCCTCCTTGAAGTTATGGATCTATCGTGAGAGGAGATAATGCACAATTTAGGGTCTTGTTTTTCTTCTCTATAATGAGAAAGGTGCCGAATGACCATTTCGAAACGACCTGGGTGTTATCAATTCGCAGCCGTTACTCTACATGAAATTGTGTAAACAACAGTATGAAGCGTAAAAATGAAAGAGGAGTACAGACCTCAAAACACTCCTGGATCGTTATCATGAGTAGCTCATATCTAGATCTTTCATTATCTCTTCATTCAAGGTGCACTCGAAATGCCTCTGTATTTATATCTGCATATGTATAAAAGTTGCCTATCGAAATAAGCCGCAGAAAGAATGTACCTCCCGATCGGGAGAAAGAATTCGAGAATTCGACAACTATGCAATCTTGCTAATTTTTCTATCCGATTTCTGGACGTGTGCGTAAGGTGCTTTTCCGAGTCGGGCGGCATTGTACATCCTCCCACTGACCAGCAAGACTACCCCAGATTTTTCTGCGGGAGAGAAGGAGGTACGACAGCATTCGTGGATTTTTGGAAAACCTTTGGAAAGTCTGTGACATTGAATTACATATTTCAAAAAGAAAAAGGTGGGGGGGGGGGCGGTAGTCGTCGTGAACAATCTCCTAACAAAGCATCGACTTTTCATAAATTAGAAGATGTTTCAAATCTATGGAAAGTAGACTCCTGTACTTCGCAACCTGTCAGGGTTTGTGCGAAAAACACAAGTCCAGGTTGTGTGGCTCCTGCAAATGCTGCAGAAATTTTTGGACCGTGTATTATCTTTAGAAAGAGCATTCTAATGGGAATTAGACCATAAACTGCTTCGCACAATTCATTTCTCAGAGAAATTAAGGGCAAAAAAGTGGAATCCCTCAACCTTTTCAGTGTGCCAAATGTGAGAAAAATTAATTTCCACCCAAGGGTCTCAAATTCGCAGATCACAGTTTTCGTTGTCATTGGCTAAATAGAGAAACTTGTGTATTACCCAATGCCAAATTACTTACCCCAAATTCATCACGCATGAAAATGAAACTTGCGTCAAAGAACAGAGTTTTGGAAAGTTAACCATATGGGGTCATGCTTGTCTATAGTAGAAAATATGAGTAGTTGGTATTTGAGCAGAATTTTTGGTTTCCTTCCCCTCAAAAAATCAAGAATGAAAACCAACTAGAAAAGTTTTTATGGAGATTTGCACGCTGAAACGAAGTCATCCTTCTGGCCAACCTAATAGTGTTAGAAAGTGTTCTATGCTAACCTAGTGATCTGCTCCAGTTCACTGCTATAGATTTGTTGATCTATGGTTGATTGGTCACAGGCACTGATTCGAAGCCTGATCTCCCTAAGTTTTGACATAATGCAGTAGAAGTCCATCCAACTAAATCTCTAGAGTGGACCCGCCTTTTATCATTGACAAGATTGATGATATCATATTGGTTGGTTTGGTTATGGGTAAATAACTAGATTATGTTTCGCCTAGCAACAAAGTATCATTCATTTGACTAGATTAGTACAAGCGGTTTCGTCCTACTCTCTGGACTTACTAGAGCGGTTCGGTCAACTTGTTGATGCGGCATCCAAATGATGATGGTTTTGTTCAGGCGCAATGCTCCTTGTTCTTATACTCGGGATAGCAGATTTCGCCATTATCACTTTATCAATCTTGCAGGTCAGTGTTGGCGCGTTTGTCAATTTATCCTAGAGTAGTGACTCGGCGAAGTGACGCTTGTCAGATTCTGACGGTGTCAGTTACTAGATGCCTGGTACACCGTGGCCGTCGCCCCAACCTTACTTTCCAACCCTTGCGCTAAGTCTTAGAGACGCGCCTATAAAAGCCTACCACCTTCACCCATTTCCATTGAATGGGCCTCAGTGGTGGGCCTTCCGCATTTTCAAAGCTCAGCCACGACTTGGGGTCAACTAGCTACTCAGACAATAACTCGGACGAGCGGCGGGCCTTTACCGGGCGGGCGATCATGCCTCCCGCCGCTCGTCTTCTAGAGGCACGCCGACCTCCCGCTGGAGATATAGGGCGGGCGAGCGGAGTACCTTTAACGGGCGACCATCATACTTCCCTCCACTCTCCCGCTAATAGTACTCCGCTCGTCCCGTACATCGAACTGGACGAGCGGAGTGCCTTTGGCGGGCTTCTGATCATGCTTCCCGCCTCCGGCCCTCTTTTTACAGAACTACAAGGATCCGACAGTCTGCTGCCTACCGCTTATAGTCTGCAACTTTGGCTACAGACACACAATCTGATCACTACAACGCATTTTAATGATTAATTTATAAGGGCTCGTAATCAACAACACAAAACAGAAAACGACAAGTGATATTCCAGCCACCTATATGAAACAAGATAATGGTAGTTAATGTCGATCTGCTTTTACAAAGGGAAACAGATGTCGTAGAGTCCCTATAAGAAACTAAATAGTGTATATAAGTTCCTAAATTTCCAAGAAGAGCGAACCATGTGAAAAAGGCCGGGGATTCAGCTCCAGTTTTCACTCGGTTAACGCTTTGCTTGAGATCTGTGCAGTATACTTGGGACCGAATCGAATGATTATTCGATTATTCGAATAAATCATTCGAATGCGAATCATTTGAAAAGTCGAATATTCGAAAATCTGAGATTTCGAATAAAATTCGAAAGTCGAATATTCGAAATTTTCAGTTTTCGAATATATTCGATATTCGAATATTCGAAACTTTCAACTTTCGAATATTATTCGAAAGTCGAATATTCGAAAATCTCAATTTTCGAATATTATTCGAAAGTCGAATATCCGATGGTCATCAATTCGATCATTCGATGGTCATCGAATATTCGAATCATTCGATGAACGTCGAATATTCGAATATTCGACAATTTGAATAATGAAACCAGAGCCCGGCGCAGATTATATGGAAGCAAGCTGGATTTGGTTTTCGGGCGGAAAAGGATACCATTTTTATGGCCAAAAATTGCGACGTTTTTTAGTCGGCGTTTCATCTTTTGAGGGTTTTTTTTACGTTTAGGGCTGACATTCAAAGGGGACTTCGTTTTCAAAAAGCCTAGAAACGATCTCATGCTGGGCTCTGGATGGTAAGCCTAGCACATCACTGTAGGAGTTTCTATCAAGCTACAACTCTCAATGGGGAGGGTAGAGGCACCGTAAAACCTAATTGCCCGTACCGTGCCTTGAACACCAACGTAAGCGAGCGGTCGTCGCGAAGGATTGTCGGCGTTCACTATATTTGAAGAAATCTTTCTTTAACTTTCATGTTGTTCTCGTCAATGCAGGGTATATTGAGGAAAGCTCCTTTTAAAAGTTTAAAAAAATATGTGCGGAAAGGGTGCGCGCTCACTGTCGCTCGCAAAAGGCCTGTAGCGCTTCGGGACCAAACGTTCCCAGCCGCGTCGCGCGTTGGTGTTCAAAGCGACGCGCAGTTGGATTTTACGGGGCCTGTATATGCTTTGTGGTCCTGGCGCAGTAGTCTATACAGTAATCGTGATGCGCCATTTCTGTTGCAGATGTAGCTGCTATCGATTTTTCGCTATCCAGGGACGCCAGATTTTAATGTTTTTCAACAGCGCCTATCAGTTCTTCATGAGCGTCATTGAGTAAACTTTAGGACTTAAACTTAGAGTTTAAACGTTTAGATCCACCGTAACACGGCTTTATGACCCCAGCAGGCAAAAGTGAAAAATGAGTACCATACGATCTGCGCACCGAACAACCTCCTAGACCAAGGTTTAACAAGGTTTCGAAATTTTGTAGATACCGGGCATTAATACCCCCCCCCCCCCCACATACCTGCTGAAAGTACGAGCAAATATACTCCGGAGGACTTTTTAGCTGCATCTCTTCTTTTGTACACTATTTCTCTTTCTCTGACCAAACTCAGATTTATCTCTGAGTTCCACGATAGACGCCCACCAAACTCAGAGTTATCGCAAAGCACAGCTGCGCGTTTGGTGGCGCTGTTTCTTGTGCAGAACGATCTCGACAATGTTTTCCTACTAGGGATAAATTACCGGTTACAGAGTTTCCTGCCATATATCGCTTTCTAGATTTGGTCCATTCAGCTGTTGAAGGGGTAAGAAAGGTGCGAGTCAACTCAGATACAACTCAGAGTTAAGTCAGAGTAACTGTGAGTTCCGACCAGATTACTACCGACCCTGCCTGAGGTCTAGTGCACGCTGTTCTTCATTCGGGAAAGGTGGTAGATGTGAACGTGAACGTGAAGATGTTCCTGATATCGTCGCAGCGTTACTTCCACTCGACATCGTAAATCGAGGGCGTATTCGAGATAATGCACTAGTGATCGGAAGGATAGTGTTTTGTCAAGAAGTTTGTCGTTTGTTGTAATGCGAGAAAGGGATATGGTAGAACCAGTCATTGTATAGTATTTTCCAGCAGCGGTTTAGGTTATCGCATTGCCAACGAAAGGAAGATTGCTTATTGCCACGAGTGTCGAGTCGAAAGTTGTGGGTAAAGCACTTATACAGTGCAACAATGTGTATACTAAATGTGTATCGTAGAGTTGGCGACGGCAGGGCTAGATGTAGAGAATCCGCGCAACGCGCTGAGATATACGTCATGTATTGCAGAGTAGTAGTCGCATAAAAGTGCACTACAGAGACCTACAATACTTGTAAACTATGCGCTTGGTCATGTTATCATAACACATAGACATTAATTTTTCGAATGATATTCGAAAATCGAATGATATTCGAAGGTCGAATGACATTCGGTATTCGAATGATATTCGATATTCGAATATTCGAAATTTCCGATTTTCGAATATTATTCGATAGTCGAATGTTCGAAATTTTCGATTTTCGAATATCATTCGATAGTCGAATATTCGAAATTTTCGATTTTCGAATATTATTCGATAGTCGAATATTCGAAACTTTCGATTTTCGAATATATTCGATATTCGAATATTCGAAAAAAATTTCGAATTTCCCCAAGTATACTGTGCAGATACGCATTGAAAATACGATTCTGTAACATCGTGATGCACTTTTAACACGATCAAATAAATCTACTTCTAACATCGTCCACCTCAGACTTATCTCCACTTTTTGTTACCTCTATAGCTTTGCTGAAGAACCGAACCTCTTGCTATCGAAAATCCTCCTAAAAGGTGGGCTTCCTGCATATGTCAGGAATTAGTCGCTTTCATAGTTAAAATTCACTTTTTTTTATCCTCTTCTTTTCTCACTTTTACTTTCTGGGGTGTAATGAATGCGGAGAGAAGTTTATGTGATACATCGGCAACGGCAACCTCAAATTATTCTAGTAGCTCAAATAGCCACCAGGCCATGAAAACAGCATTAACAAAATGAAGAACACTGCAATGAGAGAACTTCAAAATGATTTAAGATAAGGGTATGATAATGATGGTACGCCGCACACCCGCTTAAAGGGTGGGCCGCCGCTGGTCAAATCAAGGTCCGCCGCTCGCAAGCTCGGTAGCGAGGGTACGCCGCTCGTCCGCAAGAAAGCCACGCCCACAAATTAAAGCTCGCCGCTTGCCCGGAAACCCTTCAAGGCCCGCCGCTCGTCTGAGTTACTGACTGAGCCGGCTGGATGGCGGGGCTTTGTGACCTAATTAAGACTAGATAGTGATCAGAGGGAACGCGCGCGAGAGAGACGCAGACTGCGCAGGGCGCGAGCGACGTTAACTAGGTCACAAAGCCCCGCCTTTCAGCCGCCAAGCCAGTTGAATCAGAGGTTATACTTAGATCCCACTAACCAGTTTGAAGGCTGCGATTTTCTGCTGTGCAGTCAACGCTTTTGAAATGCCCTTTTTTGTGTGGCAACTACTTAAGTTTTATTTTGGATGTTACACATGAGATTATTCCATAATCTCCCTGTTGAGTTATAGTAGCTTTTGAAAGCGACCTGCTGGTATAGGGGATTCCGAAAATCTTGACGATGGAGAAACCGCGCGCGACACGCACGCCCTCCCGGCAACAGCATTTTCTTGGTTTTCATCTCTACTCGAATGGTTTTTGCTCACGTATGAAAGTGTTTAGACAATGGAAGTGAATGAGCTGAGAATCGAGGTGATGCCTTTTTGTATGAATGTTTTCTGCTCCTGTGGGAACAAAGACCGCAGTCAATTCCGTCGTCAGATTTTACAAACGACGTATATCAATTCGTCAGGACAGATTAACCCGACTTTGTCGTTTTTTGTAATAGAAAGATGCGAGTTGGTGAGAAGCTATGAGCCCAACGCAATTACCCTGTTCGTTTGACCTTTTTATCGTTTACCTTGTGCACATATTACCGAGAACCGACTCGCTACGAATGCATTTTAGAGGGCCTATAGTTTTCTCGATAAAAAGGTATAAGCCTGAAAGAAAGCTGCTGGAACTTGAGAAATGAACACCCTCAGGTGCTGTCCGGTAGCGGAATCAGGGGAAATCATATCATAATGATCGTTTGCCTTGAGATTGATAGCTACAAAACAGAGGTTTTTTTGCAAATACAAAATGCTTCAAAATATTGCGGCAGAAAAAAAGTGCCATTACATCGAAAACTCCTGATCTTAGTCTGATCTTACTTTCTCTATTCCACCACAGCTAGAAGTTTATTTAAAATGTTGAAAAACAACGAGAGAGTCAAAATGAAAGGCTAAGTTTATTAAATGTCATATTGCAATTTTTAGTGCTGCTCAAAATCGCAAAAACAGGAGTCTCCAGTAGTACAAGAGCAGTCAAAAGGTAAAAAATTAGAGTAAAATGAAGAAAATAAAATTTCTACCACTCCAATGCCTTAGCAAGCTTCCAAATAATATTTGCTTTCAGTAAAAACACTTCCTGTCGAGAAGACTCAGCCTACACCTGCAAAAACATCTTTGAAAACACCAAAGCCTGCTTTCGAAATAAGGAAATCTCCAAAAGATGACGAGGTGCAGTATTTTTTTTATTGCTTTCTTTTATGTAGGCTCTACCGTTTTTGAAAAGCTCGGTAATATTCGTACGGTCCGTTAACTAAATCATGCATCCTTATTTTGATCTACTGCTTAAGTTTAAAAAAACGGAATCCGTATTGCTAAAATATTCCACATTCTTGATTTTTCAGAAGATCAAGACGGAATTGGAATCACTTCGTGATGAAGAATATCCATTCCAAAAAGCGTATGATTGGCCTTGAAGTCTATCAGATTTTTTGAGGGAATTTTTCAGAGTAGAGCGGAAAGAGAAGGAAAAGGAAAAGCGAGAAATAGAGGGTAAAGTTGAGCAGCATTTTTCCAAAGTCGGTGAAAAGGAGAAAGACTTATCAGTTTATGTCAGTTTACATATGCAGATACAATGCTTCAACGGTTGATGTTCTTTTCTTTCAGAGCATGGACGTAAAACAGTTGAAAAAACGAGATCAAGGCAAATCTGCAGAGAAGGGAAAACAGACTTCAAAGGAGGGCAACATTGGTAGCGCAGATGCAGAAAGGAGGGGCTCACAAGAAAAGAGAGGAGGCTCTTTTGAGAGAAAAGCAAGCAGCGCTGAGGCCCAAATCTTGAAGAAGAAGGAAATGAGCTCACAAGAAAGAAAAGCAAGTGGAGAAGATCAAATGATGAAAGTGAGTTCACAGGAAAGAAAAGCAAGTGGAGAAGACCAAATGATGAAAGTGAGCTCACAAGAAAGAAAAGCAGGTGGAGAAGATCAAATGATGATGAGAAAAGAGAGAATGACAGATTCAAAGGAACCTGATCCAAAAAGAGCAATGATCTCATCTTCGACGCAACTAGGAAGTAGTTCAGTGGAAAAGGTGACAGCGTATTAGACGTTCCAAATTCATATTCTTTCATGAGTATCCCTAATGTAAATCGCTTTTGTAAGAATTTTAATTGCAGGCTGCTAATAAAAATGTATGCCTTTTTTGCATCAGTAAAAATACATGCGTTACAACTCTTACAATTAGTAATTCAGAAAACCCAAGGAGCTTCCGCATGATAGAAAGTACGCCTATTGATTTCCAAAAATTTTGTTTTCAAAGATGCTCAGATGTCGAAAAAGAAATTGCGCAGGGATTTGGCGCCGGTCTTGAAGTCTGTAATTGCAGCCTTTCCATAAAGGACTGCGGGAGGTTCTTTTCTTGAATGTCCAGCGGAACTTCCGGTCGATTGTCTAACAAGAGAAAGTTGTTGGGAGTTGTATATCAGTAGATGCGCCGATGATTTCAAATTTATTACAGGGCTCGGCACTAGCTGGCACCAGTGGAATTTCAAAACGAAGTCCCGTTTGATCTTGAAAATCTCGTACAAAGTCCCCTTTGACCTGTTTTGAAGACCCGTTCTTTAGATCATGTAAAAGTGCGTAGAGGGGTTTTCATGCATCCTCATTTCATGGAAAACTTTTCCCAGCTTACCGAGATTTTTAGGTGGTTGAATTACATTTTGAGAAGCAGAAAAAGCCGATTTTTCGACCGCGGAGCAGACCGCGTAATCTTCAGATGGCTATAAAACGCTTAAAAGAAAACATAAAATTGTTTTTTTCTGTATGCAAACTTTTACGGTGTAGATACATTTTATGTGAAAAAGTATGAAAACTGGTGCCACCTCAGCTGGCACCCGGCTGGCACAGTGCCAGCTAGTTCGGAGAAAAGTTCAGCACAGCTCTCACTCACATAACTTTTCATAAATTTTTGGGGCCATAGTTCGGGTCCCCCAACGCGCATGCATGTCATAGGCGACCATTCAAACGATATTGGTGAAATCTGTCATTGAAACAGTGCAAATTGTGATTTTCGGAAGAGAGCACGCCGGTACCAAAGCACTCAGACACTTGCGGTTGAGTCGCGCAGGGGATCCGCCCACAAAATGGGCGTTCGCGGCATAATCCGGTGGACCGGCGCGAGTCATCACTTTAGTTTCGTCCCGATTTTGGTGCGATTTTCTCGCGACGGGCGAAGATTTCGAAATAATGGACGTATAGGTCAATTCTTCCTAGCTTTTCTTGCTTCTCTTCCTTTCGATTTGAATTACTCTTTTAATTGTTATTGCGTGGGGAGGGGGGGGGGGGTTGCTTCAGCACTTTGCTCTCCATCGTTTTTCAGTCTTTTTGTTTGAAACATGATCCCAGCACTTTCTAACTCGATATTTTTGAGATGACTTGTGTGGAGAAAGTCAATCAAGTGTTATCTTACCATGTGCTTCCAACTTTTATCTGATCGAGAGATTTTCTTGCCACGGTTCCGTTGTTTGACCACTCTTCGTTATTCCTACCAGTTCCGCTATGACCTCTCACACTATCTTTTGTTTTTCTTTTTTCAGCTCGACTTTTAAGCTGTTTAGGAAGCCAGGATTTTTTGGAATCGACACTTCAACCACATTGCTACGTGTTTCAATGGTGTGAATAACGAAGAGCTAGCCAAAGGAAATTTGGAGAACTTTTTCGAGATCTTGCGAGCAGTTGTACTAAGTGGGTACTCACATGGACTTGTTATTCAGGTTATTTTGATTTTTTTAAAGAGAAGTTGAACACATGGCGAGACATCATAGACTTCTTAGAGTTCGATTTTATTCCTGTATGTTTGTCGACTTTCATGTGCATTAGAATTTAGGTGGTGGTTGGACTCAGCCGAAAATGACGACGCTCGCGAAAAATTATTTTACGTTCTCTCAAAAGCAAGAGTAACATGGAGCGGTAAAACGAGGATAGCAATAGGGAGAGCTTGGTGAGTTTTCTCAAACAGAAAGCGATACTTCTGAACTATAATTTTGGAGGGAAGACCTTCGGAGGTATCATTTTGACCCTGATAGGTCCATGCTCCTTCCATCAAAGGTGATTCATTTGTTTTATACGATCCTGGTAGCAATAATTTTTTATTTTCAGAAAAAGCGCGTCATGGTCGAAGGCAGCAGTCTTACCAAAAAAGACGTAATGATCCAGAAGACTGAAATCGTTGAAGACGAAGTTGAAGTTCGAAGATTGATGCTGTTCTCATTCTTAATCGTAGTTTTTTCGTAACCTTGTGTCGTTTTTGTGGTGCTTTCAATCCTGTAATTGCTGCTGACTGTGCATATCATTTCCATGTCATTGTAAACCCTACTCGAGAAAATCGTGCGCTATTTGTTAATAAATTTTATGACGTAAGACTGGGTTTTATCAGCAGAAAAGAAACAAGCGTGAGAAACGGGACCCAACGTGACCAAGGACTCAAGGTAAGTCAAAAGGAAGGCATGAGAGAGGGCTTGGAGGACGCAAAAAGCTGTCAGTAAAAGCGTAGGCCGCGTGCTCTGAACGCGATCGCGACATTTTGGTGTCTCGCGCAGATGTCCCGATTTTGCCCCGATTTTGCCGCGCACTTTTGCCGCGACACAAAATCAGGTGTCCTGATTTTGCCGCGACACCGATTTCGCGAGTCGCCCACGCATTCGCTGACTACACCTCGTTTTCCCCTGCGCGACTCAACCGCGAGTGTCTGAGCAGATTTGGAATCAGCACGTCAAGATGTAATTGAAGGCACTGCCTCGATTTTGGTGATGGGTAGCCGTCCCCCATCCCCCAAGTCCAACTCGATCCGGGCTTTTCTATACCGAGAATTTTGCCCTCAAAGTGACCCGCAAGGCGCGATTTGGCCCGCATGGCCAAGATTCCAGTTTCCTCCTTACGCGCTTCAACATGTCCCTCCATTTGGCGTCCACTCAGGCCCTGGCACGAGTCGGTTTCTAGAGTTTCTGAAAACGAAGTCTCCCCGACTTTCAGAAGTTTTACGGAGTCCCCCTTGACCTACCTTTAGGAGAAGATGAAAACAAGGAAGTGTCCAAAGCCTGGAAGAAAGACCTTGAGATAAGAGTGAAAATCCAATTTGGAGCTGTTTGGCATTGGAGCGTGATATTTAAAGGCAGCATCCAGGCAGATCTGGACCTATGGGAATTCACGTGGAAAGTACTTTTGGGGCCCTAAGCAAGGCGCTGCCTAAGCGGCAGCGCTGGTAGTGCTCTAACGGCTATGATATTACCCTCGAAACTGGACCCCGCGATCGTATACGCATGGATTCATGGCAGTTTCGCGCCAGGATCCACGCTTTGCGCCATGAATCCATGCGATATACGATCGCGGGGTCCAGTTTCGAGGGGAATATCTCAGCCGTTAGAGCACTACCTGAGCTGCCGGTTGGGCAGTGGCTTAGTTAGGGTCCCAAAATTACTATCCACGTGAGATCCCCATGTGTCCAGACTTGCCTGGACGTTGCCTTCAACAAAGCGGTTTATGAAGAAGCTAAGGCAAAAAGCAAAGGGGCAACGATATGAAAATGTCTTCATGCTCAGGGATAGACTTTTGACCGGACAATCCGTCCATGATAGAAAAATCTGAAACATATGTGAAGTGACACAAGTATATGCTCCAGACGATCTCAGGTCTCTGGTGGCCGTCTGGATACGGACAAGTTTCGGAAAAGGTATTACTTGACATAAATTTTCCAATCTTCTTGCATAAATCTTTTGCAAATAATTTTCTATGTATACAGTCCATTTTGGTGCCATACGATTCTGCGTACGCTGTAAACAAGCAATTTGTTTATTTTAGCCTTGCTTTCAAATCGCGCGCACTTTTCGCCACGATAGAGCATGCCAATCGTGTGATAACCTGTCCGAAAAGCTTGTGCTCGACTAAATGGCGGTTAGCCTTGTAGCTCGGCCCCAACTCATCAAAAACGATATATCCTTTGCTTTTTGCTCCGAAAACGAAGTCCAGCCTGCTTCCAGACGATCTGTGCCGGACCCTGCGTCCGCCACCACAGCGTTGCTGCCTATTGGCGGAAGCCAGGTTGAGAAGGCAGACTCATTCACGATGCATGGGCTTTTGAAAAACGCGGTTTTCATGTATTTGCAATTTTTGACCTGCACTCAGTCAGACAGAGACGAAAAGGCTTGGAATATGCAAAAATCTCGACAACCAAAATTTGGTGAGACGCTGTCTTCAAGGTGTACTTTTCATTTCAGTAGTTACGGTCATCAAGTATCTTTCCCTTCTGAGAATAGCATCATATCTCAAGTATCAATCCTGACATTTGTGAACTCTCTTCACGTGCAGTATGTGCTCAAAAATCGCTGCAGATTCCGTAAGAGTTACCAATCTGAACATTTCAGTTCCATTTGACCTGCACCACATTTAAAGTGCTGTGTGTTGTGAATTTCAAGCGGATATCTACAATGAGCGGCCCGAGCGAGCTGGTCTAAGAATATGGACTGTTTGTGACTTTTCCAAGATTGAAGATTTCTACGCAAATCTCGTGTCTATGATTGCCTGTTGGGAATGGTCACACAAATCAAGATCTTAGCTATAGATATATGATTTCGAGAAAAATCTAAGCTTAATTCGTTAGAACGTATGTTAACGACATGTTACCGCCTACCTTCCGAAGAATATATTTCTGACTTTGATGCAAGGTTTATAAAACACCAACAACTTGGTGTGTAGATATTCTGCATAAAGTAATGTAAGCTACTGCGCATACGTGCTCCTTTTTTGTCCACTGTCAATTTTTCTCCTTCGCTGGTTTTGAATAACACGGATCTTGAAACCGGTCGGATTGCAATATGACTCATCTACTCTTGAACGTGGACGCATGCTTCCATTTTCGTGGCTTTTGCAGCTCTTCGTTCGGTGCTTATTGCAGATAAAATAATTCACATGTCACATAATTGCTAGTGATATGGTATGCACCTACAATTTCAACGTGGTTGTAAAAGTGTATTTTTTGTTATTTATCATTTTAGCCGATGCCATTAGATATCGGCTTTCCAAATAAAACATCTAGAAGTTTCAAAAAGAGTTTGTCAACGTTTGGTTAAGAAGCCATTTCTGCGCTTACCTAATGATGACAACACTATCCAACATTGGTTCTAATTTCGATGATTCGCTTCATCAAAAGCTATTGCCTTTATCAGTGCTACTGATGTCGCAAAGGAGGTCAAAGCGCATATAAATTTCAACGAATTTTCACCTAATCTGCTAAGGCATAGGAGAAAACTTCACTATAAAAATGAAATTTTCGGAACCGCTATAGGCTAGCGGTGGCCCACACCTTTGTAATTTGACTAACAAAGAAGCCTTGCTAAAGGATTTATTTGACCGATATCGGCCGCGTTCAGCGCAAAGATGACCTTCCATCTACTCACTGTTCGCGCACGCATTATTGAATTCCTTGCAGAAACAACTTCCTTTGTGGCTTTGCAGTGGCGATCCTAGGATTTCCGTTCGGGTGGGGGGCAGGTAGTGAGTCTGCGTGGCCCACGTAGAAATTTTTTTACGATGTCTCCCAAAATTTCTGGAACCAATAACCCCGAAACTTTGGAAAAAGGCGGCAACTGTGCCCCAAAAATTTTTTGGGTAATTTTTTAAAAAACTCAAAAATTATCCTAATCACTTATAAGTATGAACAAGTCGCATGCAAATTTTTGCAACTCAAGTAAGAAGTTCAAAAATTCTGCGGCCCATTTTCCCCCTTCCCCTTTCGGTCTGCTACGCTGCAGCCATTACAAATCTGGAACTGGAACCTTAAGTAATTGATAATGTACAAGATTTCTCACACATTGATTTCCACTTATCTGTGCAATACCGACCCTATATTTTATCGATGGTCTCTAGTTAACAAATAACAACCTTTAATGTGGTATCAACTAACAACCAGTTTTTCGATACTTCAACATAGTATACAATACAAGAGTATTTTTCAAGCAGTATCGTAAGTATAATGCGATATCGCCTTGAACTTTATTCTTGTCGTAAATATTATGGCAATAAAAAAATGTTTCAATGAGCGCGAGGTAATCGACCGCCTTGTAGATAGTATGAATGCAACTTTTGGGATGTCTGATCAACTGAAAGAATTGCTTCCTGTTTGTTACTTCGCCATGCAAGACGCTTATTACACGCAGTTTCCTTTTGCGGTCTGAACTCCAAAACTGCATTGATTTACTGACTTTTTTCATTCTCTGCCAAATCATAGTCAAACCTGAACTAAACGTGACATTTCGTTCCGTGTTCACTAATTGCACGTCATAATCCACGCAAAGTGTTTCGACCTTGAAATGGAAAATGCGATCGAATGCGGTTGTGAGCAACTCAGTCAGCGTTTATTTTTTGCACCCCCTCCCCTTCCCGAGTAAACTCTGAAGTTTGCTGTTCGTGTCACAATGTATGTCATTATTTATTTGCATCTTGTTAATCATCGCGCTTTTCGACACTTGGCATATGACTAATGCTTTGATCCTGCACTAAACCATACTTTTGTTGCCATCACACTCATTGTTTCTTTTGACACTGGATCGCATTGTGTGATCCTCAAAACCTCTACAAAACTTCTGTGTGTAGAATGCTTCCTCAAACCTGTTCTGTGATACTTTTGTTGTCCTCACTTTGAGCTTTCGAAATCTTGCATCATAGTAGTCTATGATAGCTATTCGACAATTTGTATTTGTAGATGCTTCCTTATCCGTAAAGCTTCGCCTAGTTTCCAATGGCAAGTACCAAAATCCTATTTTTTTCAATTGTAAGCCTTTTTCACATATGATAATACTTTGTCCTAGAATCATCTACCATTTGGCATATGAT